CCCCGTTAGACTCCGCCCACCTGCACACAGGTCTCCTCCCTCATCAGGTCCTGTCCATCCACATTTTTGCCACATCTCTCTCCTCCTCTTGTTCGTGCCTCCTTCCGGATTGACCAGTCCCCTCATTTGTTAATTCCCATCATTTTGGAGGTCGGCCGTTATCTCTTGCTTGCAGTATATTTCGCAGACCCAACTAGCCTCTTAAGTCTTGCTCTTTCTACACTTTCCAGTCACTTGTTTCTGTTCCTGATGGCGGCAGCAATAAGAGACTCATGCAGCTTTCCTTCAAGTAAGGGGTTTTACTTAGGAATACTCATAGCCAGTTTGGATTTCCAGAAGCTTAAGTGTCAGAGCCCGTGGGAGGGCCTCCAAACAGTGCATTCACAGGCTAGTATGCTTTCATGTAAAATTTGTGAAAGCAAGACAGTTGAAGAGGCCCTTTGTCTCCCCCTGTCTGACCACCTCTGTCACTCTTCTACTGGGTGGTGTTGGAGTGGCTGCGGCCCTTTTTGGGACATGACTAAGGAGAAACAGAGCTGGGATATGCGTACTTAGTATGGGTTAAATGAGACAAATTTATGTCGTTCACAGTCACCGTGGGGAATAGATACATCCTTGCCAACCATTCCACTAGAAATGGCTTCCAGGAAGGCTCTCACCAGTTACTGTGTCATGGTAAGAAGATGCAGCGACACATGCTGCTACGGTGATATGAACATGCCCTACAGTGCCAGGCACCAGAAGTAGGTGGGCGGGGGAGGAAAACGGAGGCTTGAAAAGTATGGAGATAAAAGCTGCTCTGTAGAAAGTTCTTCCTCTTGTTAGACATGTAAAACCGTAACTGGAAGATTCTGTTCTCACTGATGCCCGCTTAAAACTGAGGTTCTGTCTTGTCGGGAATATACCTGCTAATGCAGTGAGACCATTATAAACATGCCATACTTTTCTCTTATTTTGGTGTGAATTTTGTGAAAGGGAATTGATCAGAATTCCTGTGATTTCAGTGCAGCAACTAGCAGAGCTACTCAGAACAAACAGTGTGTAAGTCAGCATGAGAAATCATACTTTACTTCATGGCATCCTGAGTATCTATAATAAATAAGTTTCTATCAAAAATGATATTACAAAATCATCATATTCAGAAGTAATCAAAGGTTATGCTGCAAAAAGATGTAGGAAAAGCATGATAGAGGTGGGAAGGTGAGCTAATATATACATGATGCTATGCTTTGGTATTTGCCAACTTTTGAGAATTTACAATTTGTTGTAATTTCTTTATTTGTCCTTCATTATTCACTTGCCAATTTCAAGCCTGTAATTTTGTATTCTTTTTCTTAAAGTAGGCCTTCCAAATTATATAAACCTCAGGCCCCACAAAACCTGGATCTGCCCTGCCGTGTGTAAGAATGCAATTGTGCAGCCAGGTCTCCCGGGAGCTCACAGAAAGCTGCGATTCCAGGATTCAGGGCTGGGACTGGAAGTGCGGACGCAGGTGATGCAGAGATGCCGGGCGTCCTTTGGGATCTGGAAGGCCATTGTGGCTCTGGCTTTAGCATGCGTGTTAGCATTCATTTTTCTGCATGAGGGTTTGCTAGGCGTCCGCTGCTTGTTGGGCTATGCACTGTCTGTGGCTTCTGTTTATGTGTATTTGAGACCTTGTGTGAACGCTCATTCTCATGGCCATGGCATTGGCCATTGGGGTGTCTCAGAGGTTCTGTGCCTCTTGTCAGCCACACAAGCTCTTTGCATCATGTGAAAAGTCCTCTGGAGCAGACTCTGTTGCTTCCTTTAATGACTGTCAGTCTGGGTGAGCAGAGAGCTGATATCAGTGTCTTAAAGGCCTCCATCGCTGCACTCAGCTGTTGGTCCTGGCATCAGGCATCTATCCACTCCCAGTCCAGTCCGCCAGATTTTGCAGAAGGGATCCACAGGCTGTGGGCATGGCCAGTGTTCGGAGGCTCAGTCCATCTGGGCCAGGTTGCCATGATCAGGGTGTCAGATCCCACTATTCCTTGTGAGTCTCTCCCCTACCCCACTCTGGCCTAGGTGTGTTGTTGCCAGAATACCTTGGCTTTGTCTCCTTCTTAGAAGTCTCTGGGAGAACCTGCTGGCCCCTTTTATGTTCATGCTTTTATAGATATTCACAAAGTGGCAGCAGATGGGTGCGAGAGGTAAGATTACAGACTATGAGACTTGGTCTCTATTTCATCAGTCCCCTCCGCTCCCCAGCTTCCGGCTCTCTTCCTTGCTTGATTTCTTGATCTGATTATAAAATGGTACATATGTTGCTAACATTTCAAATAATGCAGAAACATGTAAGGTGGAAAGTGGATTTCCCATGAAATTTGCCTCCAAAGCTCTTCCTCCAGAATTTATACCATGCACAGACTAATTTACATTTTCTATTAAAAATAATTTCTTTTTAATTCATATATTTCAAGCTAAAATATCCCTTAGCAGCCCTTCTTGGCATTAATACTAATTCCAGCTTGGAGAGTATCCTGGACAATTAGTTATGCCTTTATAGACACGGTACATCCATGTACCTAAGGAAATATAAAACTGTTTTGTGTGTTTTATGTATTTTTTTAAGTTAATTGAGGTAAAAATTACATAACATAAAATTGACCATTTTAACAATTTTATTATTTTGTTTATTTAGAGAGACAGCACAAGCGTTAGAGGGAGAGAAAGAATCTTAAGCAGGCTCTACACCCAACACGGAGCCCAACACGGGGCTTGATCTCAAATCCTGAGATCATGACTTGAGCCAAAACGAAGAGTTGGTTGCTGGGGGCGCCGGGGTGGCTCAGTTGGTTGAGTGTCTGACTTCAGCTCGAGTCATGATCTCATGGTTCGTGAGTTTGAGCCCCGCATTGGGCTCTGTGCTAACAGCTCAGAGCCTGGAGCCTGCTTTGGATTCTGTGTCTCTTTCTTTCTCTGCCCCTCCCCTGCTCTCTCTCTCTCTCTCTGGCTCTCTCTCTCTCAAATAAATTAAAAAAACATTTAAAAAATTAAAAAAAAAAAAGAGTTTGTTGCTTAACTGACTGAGCCACCCAGGCACCCCTTAACCATTTTAAAGTGTATAATTGAGTGGCTTTTAGTACATGTGCCATGTTATACAACCATCACTGCTATCACTGCTATCTACTTAACCAACTGAGCCACCCAGGCGCCCCTCGGCTTGTTTTAATTCTAATTTTGCCCCCTCCCCCACCAATAAACCGTGTATCCATTACACAGTCATTTCCCCCTACCCTTCTGTCACCCCAGACCCTGGCAGCTTTTAGTCTGTATGGAGTTGCCTATTCCAGATGTTTCTTATAAATGGAATGAGAGAATAAATGGCCTTTTATGACTGGCTTCTTTTACTTTGCATGTTTTCACGGTTCATCCGTGTTCTAATATGTATCAGTACTTCATTCCTTTCTATGGCTAACTACTATTTTCTTGCATGGATATACCACATTTTGTGTATCCACTCATAAATTGGCAGATATGTTAGTGTTTTTTGCTCTTTGGTGATTGTCAATAGTACTGCTCTGAGCATTTGTGTACAAGTATTGGTTTGAACACCTGTTTTTAGTTCTTTTAACTATATACCTAGGAGTGGAATTGCTGGGTCATGTGGGAATTCTGTGTTTAACTTTCTGAGGAACTGCCAATCTGTTTTCCACAGCATCCAGGCCATTTTACATTCCCACCAGTCTCCATATCCTTGCCAACACTTGTTATTTCCCACTTTTAAAAATTATAGCATTTCATTGGGGTTATGATTTGCATTTGCCAGATGATGTTGAACATGTGCTTTGGGGGCATTTGCGTATTTTTCTTTGGAGAAATGTCTATTCATGTCCACTGACCACTTTTTAATTGGCTTCTTTGTCTTTTCATTGTTGAGTTGTAAGACGTCTTTATATATTCTGGACTCTAGGTCCTTATCAGATATTTGATTTGAAAATATTTTCTTGGGGCACCTGGGTGGCTCAGTTGGTTGAGCGTCTGATTTCGGCTCAGGTCATGATCTCACAGCTTGTGAGTTCGAGCCCCGGTTGGGCTCTGTGTGACAGCTCAGAGCCTGGAGCCTGCTTCTGCTTCTGTGTCTGTCTCTCTTTCTGCCCCTAACCCACTCGCATTCTGTCTCTGTTTCTCTCAAAAATAAATAAACATTAAAAAAAATATTTTCTTCCATTTTGTAGGTTGTTTTTTCCTTTTTCATATAATGACGTTTGGTGCACAAAAGTTCTTAATTCTGTTGACATCCAATTTATCTATTTTTCTTCCATTGCTTATACTTCGGTGCTAGAGCTAAGAATCCATCCACTGCCAAATCCAAGCTCATAAAGTGTTACTCCTGTGTTTTCTTCTCAGAGTTTTATAGTTTTATCTCTTACCTTTGGGACTTCAATTGATTATGAGTTAATATTTGTATATGCTGTGAGACAAGAATGCAACTCCATGCTTTTGCAGAGGGTTACCCAGTTGTCCAGGCAGTGTTTGCTGAAGAGAATATCCTTTCCCCTGAGTCTTGGTGTCCTTGTTGAAAAATCAGTTGAACACAGGGGCTCTTGGGTGGCTCAGTTGGTTAAGCCTCTGACTTTGGCTTAGGTCATGATCTCGTGGTTCTTGAGTTCAAGCCTCACACTGGGCTTTCTGCTGAGCCTGCTTCAGATCCTCTGTCCTCTTCTCTCTCTGCCCTTCCCCTGCTCTTGCTCTCTCTTTCTCAAAAAATAAATAAACTTAGAAAATTAAAAAAATAAAAGAAAAATCAATTGAACATAAATCTATAGGTTTATTTCTGGTCTTTCAATTCTAATCCATTGATCTACATATCTAGATAGTACCATACTATCTTGATCACTGTAGCTTTGTAGTAAGCTTTGAAATTGAGAAGTTTGAGTCCTCCA